ACCAACCCATGCCAAAAAAAGGATTCTGACGTACTCGGGCGTGTTCAGAGGGTAGGTACTAAGCTGGTGACAGGCCTTTTGAATCTGTTCTATGAGGACCAACTAGATCAGCTAAACTTATTCGCACTGTCTTACCGTAGGAAACGGGGTGATCTCATACTGACATTTCGTATCCTTCGTAAATGACTTCGGTACTGATATGTTCCATCTTTTATCCCCTGCTAGGATTGACTATCTCCGACGGCATCACAAGAAAATTCGAAAGCCGTGATCGAATCAACTTAGCGTGAATCTGCGTTTCTCCCATCGTGTAGTCAACGGCTGGAACTCCTTACCTTAGCAAGTAGTATAAGCACCTTCTACCAACATGTTCAAGGAGAAACTAGATCTTCACAGAGATATCTTCTGCGAAGATTAACACACGTCAACTGGCCTATTTCCTACCAGCGGAAAATTAACATAGGTTGTGACAACGAAAATGCCAACGGTAAGCCTCAAAAATTATTAAACTTGAATTAGTGACTCAGGTATCTCGTATAAAAACTTATAAGAAATCCTTTGATGTAGATTACACAACAAAAGGAGAAAATGTCAATAGGGTGGAAAAATCGACTGCCAGCTTTCGAAGCCTTAGTCAAAAACGAATGCGGAAATAATGCGTGTAAATGCTGAAATAAGGCGTGTTAATGCATAGCATATGAATGCGGAAATAATGCTGAAATGCGACAATCAAGCCGATTTTTACGGACTACCCGCATAATTTAGACACTTGCAGAATAATTTCAGCGTGCATGCGTAGATCCCGCTTGATTTCCGTACAATTCCCGCTTTTTTTCAGCACCCACCGCTGCATTTACGCATAATTCCAGCATTATTTCCGCACTATTTCTGCGGGGCAGGGAAGTAATTTGTAATAATTTCTTACCCCTAACCTATCGATCGGAATATTCTGCCTATTCACCCAATTATTTAAGGTATGACCGCTTTATTTACGCTGAATATTAGCCTTATTTCCGCACTTTTTCCGTGTTGACCGCTTTATTAACGCATTATTACGACCCAAATTAAGCACTATTTCGGCACTCAACGCTTTATGGACGCAAAATTTCAGCATTCCCTGATTTATTTACGCAACATATCGCATGGCTTTCAAACATTTCTCAGAGAAAGGCAAAAGTATACGTGATATTAGGAAATGTATATTTTTGGAAATTGATTACAAATAATTGATTAAACGAAGTTTCTGGATTCTACCAAGGAATGGCCACAGTTGCTGACTTGATTTTAACGAAACGGCTCAGGATTTAGTGACTGAACTTAAGGAACTACTGACTGTTGGATTATTTGTAGAAGAGACGAAAACTTTCATAAAAATCCGAGTTGCTGCAGTTGTTTGTGATGCTTCTGCACGCTCAGATTTGAAACGCACTATAGGTTACAACGGATCCAAAGGTTGCGACAAGTGCTTAGTTGTTGCTTGCTGTTTAGGTGGTAGGATGTCATACCCTAACGGGGAGTTCCGACTAAAAACTGATGCCTCTTTTTGTGCTCGAGCCGACGACGGGCATCATCGTGGTAGAAGTTCCTTTGAGGATTTACCACTGGATATGACTACATCCTTCCCTTTGGAACTCATGCATCTTATTTACCTAGATGTGGTTAAGAAGTTGATTTCCCTATGGCAACATTTAGCTAACCGTCGGGAAGGTAAGATGAACCCTAAGGTTTTAACTCACATCAGTGATTGTTTACTAGGATGCCGGGAGCGTACGCCGATGGACTTCCAGCGTAAATGTCGTTCATTAACAGAGGCATCCTCACGGAAGGCAACAGAGTGCCGCCTTTTTCTACTTTACTTAGGACCAGTGATTCTAAAAGGTCTTCTGCCTCTTCTTCTATATCTAAATTTCCGTAGGTTGTCACTAACCGTTTACTTGTTGTCCAATCCTATGTTGTATCGGCCTTATTTGGAAAGGGCTAAGAACGACTTGAACAACTCTCTTCTTGAATACGAACGTTGTTACGGTAGTGAACACCTTGTATACAATGTGCACTCATTGAAGCATATTGCTGACGATGTTGAACTGCATGGGACTCGGGAATCATTTAGCGCCTTCCCTTTTGAATCTTATATGCGGACTATTAGGTCTTCAATCCATTCAGGTTACGCAACAGCTAAACAAGCTGCACAGCGTTACGCTGAAAAAATTTTCTTACAAGGGAAGATTAACCAAACTTGTATGCATAACAAACAAGAATTAGGAACCATTTTCAACTTCGGTAATGAGAAAGTAAAATATATCAATACCACTTTCTCTACATAAGTACCTGACAACGTTATCATTAGTCAAGGGAAGCCTGGAATGATAGTAGAATTGGCTGAAACTGGGTTACTACGCTTTAGGCTGTATAAGGACTTCCAGGATGACTTCGTCGTTTCTTTTCCCTCAAGTAATGTATATATATTTAGGTGTTCCACAATGAGCCATGAATCATTTTGGATACCTGTGACGGCGATCACGTGCAAGTGCATTGCCGTCCGAAAACCAAATTACGAGGTTATAATCCCTTTAAGCCATACATTAGCCAGTATCCAGGTTTAAGTGGTAGCTTCCTAAACACTTGGAATTCGCGGTTCCCTATTACTACTGTTTAACCTATGGTCGTCACTCTGAAGGTAACGGATTTCATAATTCAATACTTTCCATTTACACAGGACTCGCAGAATAAGAAATACATCTTGATCAAGTCATCGGAAGACGTTTTATGCATCGTTCACAGTTCGTGGATGATTCGAAATGGATTGTGCATGTACAATTCCAGAGCTAAAATCCAACGTCTAGTGGATGACGAATTCGATGGTCAAGATTGGTCTGTTATGAAGTGCCAGAAACTGCATGACTGTTGTAGGTCCTAATTTAATGTAACATTCGTTTCAGCATACATTGAAGAAGCTGAAAAGCTTTGGAAACCGCTTACCACTTTCAGTCGGTCTGGGGAAACTAATCCGATCGACGATACAGTGGAAATGGGCGCAAAAAAGGCTAAGAGGTAAACAAATTGTAAGCCATTAACAATTCTCCAGAGAATGTCGCAAGCCGTCATCGGACTTCCTGTACAACTCGGTGGACATCGATGTGGCTGAAATGCAGGCGGGATGCAGTAAGAGCAAATATCCATTGACGTCATACATGGAGCCACTTGTCACCCATCCCAAGGTAAGTGTTATAATGTCGCCTAAGTTTCTACAGCACGTCGAGTGGAGGGAAGTTTGCTGCTTCTTCCCCTGTACTACCACAAACAAGAAATGACGACCAACTATGCAGCCTGTAAGTTTACCTAACAGTTTTCGTAAAACACTCCTAGGTCTCCGAGAGCGGAGTCGTCTAACAAGGAGATGATCACTTTGCTCAAAAAAATTCTGCGTAAGTTTCATATAACAAATGTATTACAGTGTTCAGAGGGAATAACGGAAACTTTTAAGGTTGTACCGAAGCTTCTTTCGCTTTCCTCGGCGGAGACACTCAACAGAACGACATCCACCAGCGCCATTTCAATAGATGACTTCCATCTACACTTCCTACTGGTTTCCAGGGACCAGCTAGATTTCTTGGAAGCGTCTTTGAAGGATGACAACTTCAGAGGGATATTTGTGAGTTAAAATTAATGAAGTCTAAATTTGCAGACCGCAAAGATGATTGCGAAATTGCAAGATGAGCCGAAGTCATCTTTGAAAGTGATGATGAACAGTATCTTGAAACCTGATCTGGGCATGCAGTTTACCATGCTTGGAACTTCAAGAAAGGCTGGGATCATCAACTTAAGTTTTTATAAAATCATGAGATGTAAGATTTACGTTCATCACTATCCTACAATTAGCTGTTATCACATCCAAGTTCTCAGGGCCACTCATATCTCAACGGGAAATTGAAGACATCATGGATGCAACTACCAAGTCTTACTTCCACAATGTACGAGACAAGGTGGTTAGGTGTGTTAAGCCGAAAGCATTAGTAAGTTATATTGTACATCCCGTTAACCTTTAATCATCTCATCCCAACCTAGTGAATTAATTTGTATTTTTCCACGTTTACAGCCGACAACTGTCATCAGTACTGAAGAGCATACGGAGCCGGTAGATTTAGGGTTTATTCTGCAATTATATTTGAAAACGTTATCAAAATCGCTTTGTACTAATTTACACTTCTTCTAGAAAGCCAATGACTGCGAAACAGAAAACGACTAGGACGTAAAAACTGAATCAATTATTGTAATCAATTTCCAAAAATATACATTTCCTAATATCACGTATACTTTTGCCTTTCTCTGAGAAATGTTTGAAAGCCATGCGATATGTTGCGTAAATAAATCAGGGAATGCTGAAATTTTGCGTCCATAAAGCGTTGAGTGCCGAAATAGTGCTTAATTTGGGTCGTAATAATGCGTTAATAAAGCGGTCAACACGGAAAAAGTGCGGAAATAAGGCTAATATTCAGCGTAAATAAAGCGGTCATACCTTAAATAATTGGGTGAATAGGCAGAATATTCCGATCGATAGGTTAGGGGTAAGAAATTATTACAAATTACTTCCCTGCCCCGCAGAAATAGTGCGGAAATAATGCTGGAATTATGCGTAAATGCAGCGGCGGGTGCTGAAAAAAAGCGGGAATTGTACGGAAATCAAGCGGGATCTACGCATGCACGCTGAAATTATTCTGAAAGTGCCTAAATTATGCGGGTAGTCCGTAAAAATCGGCTTGATTGTCGCATTTCAGCATTATTTCCGCATTCATATGCTATGCATTGACACGCCTTTTTGCATTATTTCCGCATTCGTGTTTGACTGGGAGTGATAGATGAACTGTATGAGTTGTAGTACGAGAAATCGCTGGATGGTTGACATTTTATTCGCAACAGGGTTAGTTGAGGAAGAAAAAACATTTGACGCCAAGCAAGTTAAAAGTCGATGAGAGGATTTGAAAGCATCTGACAATACAAACCTGAGGCTTCGAGTAGCAGATGACCTAGAGATCTAAGAGCCGCGCTGCAATTCAACATTCAGATGTTCAGATGCTTCTTGGACTAATAGAAGCTTTCGCTTAATTGGCTTCCGCGTCTAAAATCAGTGGATCACTACTTCTTGTGGTTGGTAACCTGTGTACAGGTAGATAAAGATGAAAGGTGATGGTTAAAATGTGAGAATCTAATTTGTTCTGTGCAGATCCCAGCCACATGTCAGATAAGTACCCTGTTTGCGTTTAAAGTATTTAGGCGAAGTAGCCTGGATCACATCTGCAGGACGAGCATCCCAGGATTTATTGACTCTTAGAGAATAGTAGTTGTGCCTCATGCTGTAACCTGCTCTTCCCAAGGCTTCGGAACAGGTGCCCAAGCGTGCTCAGAATGTTGTGAGTCACTTACAAATCTCCTCTTAGCCCTCTGGATTCTAGAGGATGCAGATCCAGTTCAACTAGTCGTCCTTCTTATGTTTCAGACTCGAGTCCTCTACCAGACTTCGTGGAACACCTCTGGATGCGTTCTAAGCTTTATTTGTCCTTCTGACAAGAAGGCGGGAAGACTCCGGGTCAGGCCGCATAAGACTTGAAAATTTGGTGGAAGCACCTGCGATCGAACTTTTCGAAGATTGGTCTAAGAATTACAAACCCCAGGTTTCCACGCCATACGTCTCCGTCACACTTGCGATAGGATTGCTAGTCTTGAGGGACTGAAACGACCAAATCCTTCTCTGTCTGTGATGATTCAGGTTCGATGCCGTCAGAGTTAAATACATGAGATGCATCGCGTTTTACGTGTCACCGTGGACTTCTCAGGACTCAATATGAGCTCGTAATAGACTTCCCAGGTCTAAAGTTAAGTCTTCCTGTACAGAAACATTGTCTTCCTCACTTCTGGTTCCTCTCCAGAGTTTCATGTCTTCGGCAAAAGGAAGAATTTAGGAAGAAACCTGTTGAGGTAAGTTGTTTGTGTACATCGAACAAAGAAGAGGCCCTAATATTGAACCTTAGGGAAGACATTCTGTTTCTTGAGACAGAAAAACCCCCTCGAACTGTAAGTGGACGGGCTCGTAGATGCGAAGACAACCACTCGATGAGTGGTGGTGGAATCCCGATTAATTTCAAGTTATCAATAAGGCCGTCATGGTTAATTCGATCAAATGCCAAAGTCTGGGTAGATAACACCAATTTGTCTTTGGCCTTCATCAATGCTGGTCCATCTGTCTACTGTAGTGAGGGAATTAATAATGCAGGAGCACCCTTTCCGAAATCCATTTTGTTGGGGGGGGGGAAGTTGATTTTTGTGAGGCATTCCTTCGGTCCATCGTAGAATGACGATTCCATTACTTTGAATGATGTGGATAGAAGTGTCACTGGTCTGTACCTCTTTGGATCGCTTCGTTGACCCCCTTCGAAGGCTGGCGTTACGTGGCGCAACTTCCAAGAGTTGGGTACTTTCCCCGGACTTAGAGAATTCATATACAACTTACAGGTTCATACAGGATTGAAGTTCCCTCTTGCAGTGCGGCTGTATGGATTTTAACTGGTCCCGGAGAGTGTTTTCATGAGCAATAGGAGTTTGCGCTGTACTCGCTCAGCGCCAAGGTGGACGGCTGAGACTCCTACTTCGTTGTCGGGATATTCGTAAGCTCCTGAGTAGGTGGATGGTGATGAAAAGATTTGCAAATACTGGTCGGCCAGGAGCTCAGCTGTTTCAGTGTCGCTACTAGTCAGTCCATTGACACCCAGCATTTGAGAGACTCCAGCTTAAGCCTGCCGGAACGGAGCAGCTTAGCAGAATAGACTTCTTGGATTTGAAACAAACGCGTTTGTAGGCCTGACCCAATGCCGCTGCTAATCGGCTCTCAGTGCCCTTGTGCGTGTGTTTCTTGTCTGTTTGGATTTTCCGTAAGTACTTTCCGTGCCAGTCGTTTCGTGTTCGGCCAGTGGTGTCTCTTTAACCTAAGTAACCTGCGAGTGTAGCTCCTTATTACCTTAGGCGACGTGAAGCATTCCGGTCTTGAAAGCGGAACAGTTCAGCTGGTTGCATGCATGATCTTGTGAAGTATGAATCTCCAATGAGTGTTCTTACCCTGCCATGGTTAGTAAACTTTTCAGTCAGTCTCTTCCAGTGCGGTTCAAGGAGCCGGAACGTTAAGTCGTCTAAAGTTCCAATGGCGCTCTTTGAAGGGTCTGGTCAGATTGGTTTCGCAGACAAACTGGAAGCCGATAAGAACGTGGTCACTACTGTCCAAAGGAGGAAGAGTTGATAAACTGTCAATCAAGAATTCTCCACTTGTGAAGATGCAGTCCAGGTGGGTGGGGTTTGAGCCTCCGTCGATCGCGTTACGGTTCTTACATTCTCCGTGAACCCCTCCTCCCCAGTCAGGTGGAAGATCGGGCTTCAATGTAGTCGTCACTCCAGCCAGAGTATGACCTGCAAAGTGAGCCTTCGGTAGGTTAAAGTCGCCCAAAATTTGTATGTTCGTATGTGCCTCAGTCTAAGGGAGCAGCCGGTTGCCTATAGCATCTAATCATCACACTGCAAGCCAACAGATGGCCTCCTATAAATGACTCTCGCCAAGTATTTTATAGTCTCGGAAAGCTTTCTGGTGCACATATGGACCCCTCGAGGCATTTCACTTCTGAAATATGGATTTGGTGGACTGAGAGAGAACAGCTGACGCAAAGTGCTACCACACCCCCTACCAGCCTTCCTGTCGTTGCGAAACAGTATGGTATTAACGGCTGTCAGCTCCTAATCCAACATGTCAAGGGAAACCCATGCCTCGGTAAAACCAATAAGGTGAGCATAAGTGACCTCAGTTGCTTCCTGCAGTTCGTCCAGTTGATTCGGTAAACTTCGTGCATTGTATGGATGCAGTTTATGCCAACTACTTGGAATGCACCTTCTGAACCCTCTTTATTCTCCAGTTAGCTGACTAGATCCTTGAGCGTGAGGGCTAGGAAAGTGCTCAGGTACTGCCTACCAGTGCAGTGTTCCCTGCCCCTCCCCCATTTTTTACGTCCAAGCAGCCTTCCGAAGGTAAAACTGGCTCCATTTTTTCCGTCTTCGTTTCAGCCTTAAGTTCTGTTACCTGTTGGGCTGCAGGCGATTTCTCTTTGCCCAAAATGCCTCCAGTGTGGATGCTGCGTTTTGAGAGGTCAGAAAGACCGCTTTGCTCAGCCTTGGTCTGGGGTCATGGTTCTTTCTTGGGTATCTTCAAAACGCTTCAGGTTATCACTCCCTTGAAGTTCATGGTAATCTTAAGGAATGTTTACTCGCGAAAATCGTAGTGAATATCCCTTGTGCCTGGGTCGTCTGGTATACCTGTTTATTAGGTCTCTTCCTCCAAAGTAGGCTGCACGACTGTCGCCCGACAGTTCCCTTAGAGTTCGGGATACCTGGTAATAATAATAGTGGTAATGATAGTACATTTCGAATGGTGATTTGTGCGAACGCATGCCATTTTACAGGCAATATCTGAACATTATTTCCTCATTGAGGCTGTAAAAGTTCAGAAAGAAAGAAATCATCGTACAAAGTCTTCTGGTGTATACGATGGTTTGAGTGTTGCTGGTCACAAATATTAGATAAAAGCGGTATCATCAAACAGCAGTGGTGCAAATCAATCACGGTTCAATCTCTCAGTATGGGAAATATCCTGGCAATCGTAAATTTCCAGATTACCCCGCTTGCGGCCGTTACCGATGCTTCTCGCCTTCTCAGACCCGATGATTTCGACTCTGGTTGGAATCCGACTGTCCTTATTTCGTGCGATGGGTTTCTATCCTCTATCCACGGTGTCCTTGCTTTGCATGACTGTTTCGTCTCGCTCCTCATCCATTGACGACAAAGTCCTGGTGAAGGACTGTAAGACAGCTGATGTCATCGCACTACCAAGGTGTTTCATACCTTCTGTAGGACCAGTTCCATACTCTTGTTTGGTGACTTGAGCATTTTTACTGCTAGTCGGCTTTTGAACTCCAAAACCCCGTTCTTAGGTAATGCTCTTGAATTTCCCAGCTCCCTTTTTTTTGGTTTGTTGTCGGCCTGTTTTTGAATTCCGCTCACGTGTCGATGATGTTCTCAAGAACATCATTGAGTGCAGACCTACATGGGTGACAATATCACTTGTGACCAGACTTTCTCAGTTTAGTGTGCCCAGCTTGCGTTAGGTCTGTGCAAGCACCATGGAACCACCCGTCGCAGGTATCACATAACATACCCACCTGAATAGTTGACGACAGCCATGCCTCCAGCACATCTGTTTGGCCACCACTATCGTAAAAAGTAAGACAAGAGGTGAAAAAAATTGACGAAAGGAACCCTGGAAAAAACATGAGAAGGAGTAGGAATCTAGCGTTATTGGGTTAAACCGAAACTGAAAAAGAGGTAAAGCCTCGTTATCCTAGTGCTGACAATAATATACGTAGAAATACGGTAAACTTATCAAACCTGGGGAGAGAGAATGCTGAAAACCGAAGCTTCCGTTGCATTTTTCATAACAAAAGCTGAAATGCTAAATCACGGCAAGATATCACTTCCCTTCAAGAGGCGCGCGATACCCTTTTACCAGCTAATATGAACCGGTTTGTTTCGTTGCGATCTCTTTTGAGTATTCGGGAACGGCCTCAGGCCTTTGTGGAGTCCTCTGCAGTACGCCTACCAACTGGCCTGTCGTAGTTGTGGTTGACCCGATTAGCGGTTGGGCGCTCATTAACTTTGTGGGGATTGTATGATTTTTCAAGGAACCGTGATGCGTATGGGTTCATCAAGTCTCGTGCTATCAGGTAGTTGCTCTGAATGGTTTTAAAAGGAGGACGGCATGGATGTTCAGTGGAATCAAGGGAAAGGAAGTGAGAAGAAAAATTGGGCGAAAGGAAGTCAAACGGAAGGAAAGGCGACACCTAGGTAGATTCACAGGAAATAACAGTGATAAGGAGACCCTTGGTGAATAACGCTAGGCCGTGTAGTGAGAAGGACGGAAGGAGTCAAGGAAAATTAT